TTTAGACTTTCTTTATATAAGCTTAAATATAAGTTTAAATTATTCATTTTTATAAACTTTTTTGATCTTTCCCTATAACTCAAATAGATTTTTCTCAATCAATATATAAACTTTATCTTTATTTATCGATAAAAAAAAATATTTTTAAGATTTTTTTTCGAAAATTTATTTAAATTTAATTATTTAAAATGACGAGATTGCATATTTTATCATTCTTTTCGTCTCTTTTTTAAAATTTTGGATGATTTCCGGCGAATATTTGCTCTTTAGATGAATCTAGATAGTTGAATTATTTTTTTTTTAATTCTTCAGGTCCTCTTAGCGATCGTATTCCTTATATTCGGCTGTAATTTTTCTGGGATCGTCTGTACGAATCATAAGGTGCAAATCATGATTATCGATTGATATCATGTGATTATGAATAAAAGTATTTATTTTTTCTATTTTAATTTGTTTTCTTTAACAAATGTTTACTAATTGTTTTTAATTTTTTTCTTCTTTTTAGAATACTTGCAATTTATTTAGAGTTAGAAATTTCGTTAAATATTTGTATGAAGTTTTATTTATTGGTGTTAATGTGGGGGTGTTAATGTGGGTTACTTCATAGGCTTGCTCACCAGCTGGCAGGGTGTATGAAATTTCTTTTAATTCACAAAGAAAGCCTTGCTAAAGTTATCTTTAGCGTAGATCTAGTAATACATTGCCTTAAATAAGCGCAGCTACGAGGTTTATGAAGCCCCAACTATATGTATCGATATATCTTATGTTTAATTACACAATTTATTTATTGTAGAATTTTTATTATATCGATATATTTAAATTTATTATTTAAATTTATAGAATTTTTATTATATATTTATTATAATGCATTTCATAATGCCTAAATTTTACAATGATTTGACTGAATCGTACTAGTACTATAATACATTTTAATAATACTATACATTTTAATAATACTATACATTTTAATAATACTATACATTTTAATTAATACATTTTAATTTATTTTCGAATATATTCGTTAAAATTAAAATGATTTATTGTCGCTATATAGAAGATATGAAGTGAAAAGCTAGAATCTGTATGATTCCATAATTTTTCTAAAAAAAATAATTGTATTTTTCAAAAATAAAAACGTATTTATCAAAATTAAAAAATAATTAAAGTTTCATATTACCTCCATGTAGAAAATATAAAGTAGTGAGGTAGAAACTGGACAGTCAAAACGAAAAAAATGCCACTAGCGATCGACTCTATAGTCACATGATAGTCACATGCCAGAAGTGTTATAGTCGCTAAATCTGAGGTTTCAGCAAAGTTCTTTTATATTATTATAATGCATTTCAGTAATATATATTATATACAATGTCTTTGATAATAAATTACACAAAATTTTACAATGATTCGTACTATACTTAATACTATACATTTAATAATAATACATTATACATTTAATAATATTATACATTTAATAATATTATACATTTAATATTACTATACATTTTAATAATTTACGCAGTTTTATTTTTGAATATATTCATTAATGGTACTTTTAAAATTAATAAATTGTTATATTGACATCGCTATATAGAAGATATGAAGTAAAAAGCTAGAATCTATAATTCCATAATTTTTTTTAAAAAAAAATAATTGTATTTTTTAACATATTTTCAAAATTAAAAAACAAATAAAGTTTCATATTAACTCCATGTGGAAAATGTAAAGTAGTGAGGTAGAAACTGGACAGTCAAAATGAAAAAAATGCCACCAGTGATCGACTCTATAGTCACATGATAGTCACATGCCAGAAGTGTTATAGTTGCTAAATTCGAGGTTTCAGCAAAGTATACCCATAAAAATTAATATACATGTAGTTTTAACCTTGCTCAACAATTTCAATTAATTTAGAAAGTCAATTTCATTTGATTAAAGTGGTGAAATTACGTGCTGAAGTTAATAAACAGAAAAAAAAAATTTGAAAGTTAGTACCGTTATTAAAAATGTAGATTTCTCCATATGTATTATACCTACACCCATGAAATTAATTTATTTATTTAGTAGGGAAATGGCTTCTACAGGAATCCCAAGTTTTGAACTTTGAATATTATTTATAGAGTTAATAAGACATTTTACATTTATAGAATAATTTATATTAATAGAATAACTTTATTTATAGATTAGTAGAATAATAGTAGATTTGAGTATGATTAGATTTAGAATAGAATACTTTAATATTTCTTAATTAAAATTTATAGAACATTTACAATTTATTTGCGACATTGAAAATATAAATTTAATATAACTTTAATATATATTGAAAACAATTTTACGATACAGTAAATATAACTTTGTCATATGTTAAATATACATTAAATATAACTTTAATATACATTAAATATAACGTTAATATGGATTTAACATACTGTAACTTTACTAATCTCGATACTATTTTTGTATGACCTAGTAACCTAGTTAAATCAGGTGTTGATCTCCTTAATATGCGTCAACTTTATACATACGATTGACTTGAACTTATTGTAATGATGTGAGACCATATCATGACCAAACCTTGGTTATAAGGTTTATGATATAATTTTGACTTGATCACGATGTGGTTTTGATTTTAAAGGTTTCTGCAAAGTATAAAGTACAATATAGGAATCTGAATTTATTTTAGCCCCAAATGTTAAGTACATAATGTAGTATTTGTAGGGTTAAGAAGAACTTACTTTATTTTTTGCAATTTTTTCTGATTAGTCAAAGCTTTTTCTTTTTCATTTGGCTCCAAGTTTTCAATAATTCTTCAGTTCTAATACAAAGAAAAACAAAATGAAAAAAAAATACCGAAACTTTTAATTACTTTTAAAATATCTTTTATTTTAATACTAATCTAAATAAACTATTTTATCATGATTATTACATTTTTTATGCATTTCAATTTTGATGCATAAATGATAAATATGATAAATTGATCAGACATCAAATTTCCATCTGACGTAACTCTTTTTTAAATTTACGCTCATTCTGATTTGATGCACAACTTATATCTAAAATATTTTAATTTGTTTTTTACGTTTTGATTTAATAATCTTGTAATTGGCCTTAAAAAGAAGAATTTATAAAAAACAATTTTTTTTAAAAAATTTTTTTGTTTCTAACCAAAATAAAATAATTCAATAAAATTTATTTCAAATGATTAAAAACTTAATATTGCAGGATATTTCAAATCAAATTTGGACGATTCTATGTCCACATATGTTTTTAATAAATCAATTCATGTAATATATATTTTAATAAGTAAATCATATAATTTTTCTTTAATAATTAAATTCATATAATGTTGTTAATAATTAAGTTTGTATTATGTTTTTTAATTATAATTTTTTACTAATAAATATTTTTTTAATAAATAAACTTAATAAATTCGGATATATAATTTTTCTTAATAAATCAATTCATGCATGTAATATATATTTTAATAATTAAATTTGTATAATGTTTTTTAATAATTACTAAATTTGTATAATACTTTTTTTTAATAAATAAACTCGTATAATGTTTTTTAATAAATAAATTTAATAAATTTGGGTATATATATATTTTTTAATAAAATTCAGATATATATTTTTTTAATAAAATTCGGATATATATTTTTTAATAAAATAAAATTTAGATATATATATATTTTTGGATATATATATTTTTTATATAATTTGGATATATGTATATTTTAATAAAATTCAGACATATTTTTTTTTTATATTTGATCAGGTTCATTTAAGAATGTTATTCGCTTTATATTTAATTTCCTTCAATTCCTATTATAATTAATCACAAAAATTAGCCTCCTGAACAATGTACTATACGAATAATAAATATTTCCTTGATGTTAATATGTAGTTAGCTCCCAGATTTTTGGCCAGCCAATTGACAATTCATAATTCCTTGATGTCAATATATGGTTAGCTCATGATTTTTGATCAACCAATTCGGATCATGCTGCAGACCATGATCAATTTTTTTTTTTTTTATAACGACCATTGTTCGTAATATTGAACTCAATATCAACTCAATATCAATATCAATATCAATATCAATAATATAAAAATGTACCCTATACTAAATTTTCCTTCCCTTCCAGGATAGCACGATTAGCATAACAACCAATTACAAGGACTATCACTATTAAAATGAAGATCACATGATATTGTTAACTATATAGCGTGATCTGTATATGGTGTCAACAATATAAATGTTGTACCGACGCCGGCCTATATTATCGGCCCGATATTGCCAATATTATTAATGCCTTAAGTAGGTTGACCAGCATTACTAGGCCTGACGCACAGCTGACGCAAATCGGCATCTCACAACATCAACCCATTTATACATTAAATCCAATCCGTCCTCGTTACGTCCCGTGACGTTGCACAAATTTCAAAAAGGAGAATTGTTGCTTTGCCGATCGCATTATTTCTGGCCATCGTAAGAAAAATTTGGGATGGGATTCCCATCCCATTTATTTGGGCGGCAAGTATAATCCAGCACTATTCAGTGGGCCGATCATCAACAATAGCAGAAAGTTTATGCAGGGTCTTTCTACATTTTGAGAAATGTTTGCTACATTTACAAAAATTACAAATTTAGAAGAAATTCGAATATGAATAGGGTGACATGATTTACGAGTATTTACTCGTGCGCATATTTATAATTATAGGATAACAATAAATTTGTATCGATTATATAAAAATGGATAAAAATAAATTTGTTTCGATTATATAAGAATGGATAACAACAAATATTTGTATCGATTATATAAAAATAGTACTGTATATTTAATGTCCTTTAATTATTACTCTATACATTGAATATTTTTATTAAATAAAAAAAGAAAAGAAAATTAATATTCATTATAAGTTTTGATACAGCAATATTTAAAAATGTCATAACTACTTAACGATCTTAATTTTTTATAATTTTAATTTCTAGGGATCTTAATTTTTTATAATTTTAATTTCTAGGTTTAATTTTAATTTCAAGTCCTTGAACCATCTTAATAAGATCATACTTATAATTAAATGGTGAAACTTTGTCCACCAATTCTATATCATAATTCCTGTATAATAAAGCTATTAAAGTTTTCACTTCAGCCAAAGCCATCTTCTTTCCTGGGCATTCACGTGCACCACCTCCAAATTGATAGTAACTACTGTACATTTTAGTGTCAGATTTATTTAACCATCGATCTGGATTGAACGTATCAGGATCAGTCCAGTAGTCGGGTGATCGATGAATTCTTTCTACGTCAATAAAAAATTGTGTTTTGGCCGGGAATTTGTATCCCGCAATTTCATTCGGTTCCGCGTTAGTACGTAAATTAACTGGTATAGTAGGGAATAAACGGGAAGCTAAATTTATATAATATAAAAGATTAATAAGAATTTATTACCGTCTTATAACAACAATAAATACTATAAAATTACAATAGATTACAATAGATTACAAACCTTCTTTGAAGATAGCGTCAGTATATTCGAGTTTAATTACTTGATCAATAGTGATGTTACTATCACGATCACTTCCCAATACATCATCCAATTCTTGTACCATACGTTTCTGTACTTTAGGATTATGGCCTAAGTAATAAACGATGGCAGATAATGTACTTGCAGTTGTAAGAGTTCCACCTAAAAGAAGATCCATAATAGTAGCTCTAATATCATCATCACTAATTTTCTCATTAGCGGTTAAGAATTTAGTTAAAAGATCATTACTATCGATTTTTTCATTTGATTTTACAATTTGAGTTCTTCGCTCTTCAATAATTTTTAAGAGATTCGTACTCGCCCAAGTCTTGTTACTCAACAAACGATTTCTTGTTTCACGCATTCCTGGAGAATTCCTTAATAATTTTGGAGTGAGCAAAAAGAAATGAGCTCCTTCAAATGCTGTTTTAAAGATTTCGATATAAGAATGCGATTTTGGAATAGTTCCTTCAGGTTCCACAACTTTATTTTGTGGATTTATCGCATTATAATAATTAGTAAGCGCATGTGCTCTCAATTTAGTCATCAAAAATAAAATATTTTCAAATATAAATCGAGATAACCATCCAGTAAAATCAATTTCTTTAACATCACCATCATTACTATCTACTCGTTTCCATAATTTTTCCATTTCCTGAAATAAAGTTTGAGTAAATTCGACCGTTTCTTTGGAAGATTGAGGTGTAGCAATAGTTTTTTGTAAGAATCGACGATGAGTTGACCAATTATCATAATCACTATTAAGAAGGATTCCTTTATTGCTCATGCCATATTCGTCCAAGCCATCATTTGAATGTACTCTCAATGGGGAATTAAACAATTTTCCGGCCATTTCTGATCGGCATACACATACAACTCTCCTGGTTCCCGAATAAAATTCAAATATATCGCCATAAATTAATCGTAATGCTTCTACAAATTTTCCGGCATCTCCAGTATATTGTAATACATTACCAATAATTGGTAAAGGAATTGGACCAGGTAATGGACTTTGTCGAGTAAAATAACGATAATAAAATAAACCGACGTAAGTTACCAATCCAATTATGAATAATAAAAAATAATTCATAGTGGAAGTTTCAAAAGATAAAAGTGATTTTAAGAACATGTTTTATTAAATATGATTGAAAGTACGAATAATGAAAAAAGAAAAGTGTTTTGACTTTGTATATATATAAGAAAAAAAAATCGAGAATCTTTTATCGAACGAATTGATCAAAATATTTCGGGATTTTACTCCATTTATGTTTAATTACTTTTCGTTAATTCCATATCTAAAAATATTCACATGCAGCCTTACAAATATCTTATTTACATAACCAGATAAGTGATAGTTGATTTTCAATTTTTATTACTAATAGGTAATACCGATCACATCATATATTTTTACGGATTTGTTGATCAGGAAAACATGTTATAAACCCGGTTAATTTAATCCGATTTATCCGAAGCATAGCGGCTGTTTTATGAATGATCATTTGCCGATCATTTATTCAATTATATCACATACCGTTGCTAAAAAAATTTACATAATAATATATGTTCAAATTTCACAAATAGCTTAAATTTAGTTTTAATTTATTGTATATTAGAAACTTTTTAGCTTTTATTATCCGTCTTATTCCGTAGAATTGTGTTACGATTATAAGAGACGTTAATCTTTTTTATTTTATTTACACTATGACTAACCATGTGTAGATTGTCAACCAGTGGTATAATTACATACAATTACTGAGGCAAGTTAAAAATGCGCACCCATAAGGGTTCACTCTTTGTAAAAAAGAGCTCACACTCAGAAAACGAGTCTAGGCTAACTAAGGGTATTAAAAGAAGAATAATAAAATAACAATTAAGGTAAAAGGAACCAAAACCCATATTTTTCTTTCAACTGAGAAGCTGCCATACGTAAATACTGTTAGGTATGGAATGATCCACAATTATTTCAGTAAAAAATGACGATAAATGTTTTACTTAGATCAGAAAAAGGACCCGCCACTAGGAATGGAATCGGTTCAAAACTAGTCAACTCAAGTCAATTCTGGAATCTATCTTAAATTCAAAATATTCTGGATCTTTTGGGCTTAAAACTGCTTTTAATCATAAAAACCATTCTGAACTTCGAACCGATTTTGAACTGACTGACTCAAATTGAGTCACCTGAGTGACCTGACGATCACACACCAACTATGATCATTTGAAGGCCAATCAAAAATTTTCTGATTAATCATCATCACATACTCTACTTGTGTCTTAAATTTTGCTCATTTTTTTTATTTATTAGAGCTGATGTGGAACTGAATTAGAACAAACAAACCGATTCAATCCCTACCTATCACTTGGCCATCATCAGGGAGCTTAAGAGCAGGTTTTAATTTTTTTGAACGTGAGTATCTTTCATAGCAGGTTAGCTGAGGTCGATATTCTAATTCTTTAGTATCATCTGATGTATTACTGTAAGCCAGTCTGGAGGAATAGTCAAATTCTTTTCCCATTTGACCATTTTTCATTTGGAAAGGCCACTTATATGGTAAATGTCAGTTTTTGTATTAGGGGTTAAAATAGTTGTCGATTTGATCGTATCATAATTCTTGGGTTTTGCACGTTCATGGAACGTATTTTGAATTTGGTAAGTGAATCCACTTGTTCTAAACATTGTTGGTATCTTTTAATTGAAGAGCCATAATATTGTGACAATACTGACCTTCTTTTGCTTGAGTCTCATGCTGTATACGTTGTGATTATTTTCTTTAAATTCTTTGCCGCTTTACGGGCACAATTAATAATACAAGAGACGCTAATTAATCTGCACTTTTGCTATTTGTATACATATCATGTTGTAGTAATGATATTGAAATTAAAAAAATTAACATTTATACTGTAATTCATAACATCACTTTCCACCTGTTATTGTTCTAACCAATGCCTATCTCATAAAAATATTTTCTAATAAAATAATAAGAACCATTTCATTATTTGGTAAAAATTATCTTATTACTTTTAGGAAACCTAAAAGCTTAATATCTGCTACAGTTTAAAACAGAGCGAAGAATACAGTCCGCTCGCTACAACGAATTTGATTTAAACGAATTTCTTATTATGTTGTATCAATAAAAGAAATCACGCTATACCGAAGATTATTAACAAAATGCTGTATATCGTTTAACGAAGTACATGTACTGTAAGTCTATGAGATTAATGACCAGTATAAAATGACTCTTATTATAACAAATTTTATTTCAAAGACATTTGTGTGACATGCATTTTTCGTAATACAATTTACCAGATTTTCATATCATGTTAACGAATTTTCTTATAATAAAGGCCTGATTGACCAAACTAACAACTTCGTTATAAGCGAGTAGACTGTAGAGATCTCGTTTTTCAATGGAACTAAGCGTTTAATTCGTGATCCATCTCCGAACCAGTGAAAACTACTAATATTTTTCAGGGAATCATTTTTGCAAATTAATTATCCCTTAAATGGTTTTGAGCTAATTTGCCCAGAATTTTTTTTTTAAAAAAAATGTTACAGAATAATATTCTGAAGTATGATAAATTTGCGTCATCATACATTAGTTTTGCAAGCCCCTATAAAAATTTTATCCATTATTTTTGCAAAAACTCTGTAAAAATGAGCCTTTCACGGATCTATTCATGGAAAATGTAAATAAATTGATAAATTGCGTGATATTAGGTTACTAATTCCGGAAACATGAGCCTTTTACGAAAAAAATGGAATATAAAAAACGGATCAACTTTTTTATAGGGATAAGTTTAATCAACATACAAATTGGTGATATTGCCTAGAAAGTAGCCAAATTTGTATTACAACCCATATGAAAAATAGTGTAACTATTTGGGCGTGCATCAGTTAAAAAGGGCCTCAAAACCAAATTTGAGGTTTTTGGCTTATATTGTGTAAACCATCAATGTACACTATTTTCACTTAATATTGTATGCCGATAATCATAATAAATTATCGAAATAAAAAAATCAAATAACTGCTATAGGGACAATCATTTGATTATTTGAAGATCATTGACTTATTTAGCAATATTATGACGTAATGATGAAGGTAAAGTCACATGATATGGATAAAAGTTTAGCCACCAAATTTAACTGACGGCACGAAAGCNAGTCACATGATATGGATAAAAGTTTAGCCACCAAATTTAACTGACGGCACGAAAGCAAAATGTTTTTTCTTGCAAATAAGTTAATTTCATTTTTCTCAAAATGATGAAAACGTAGATTTCCCCCCATTTGCCTGGAGTTAAAAAAAAAAAAAATAAATAAAAAGAAAATTTATAATACTGAGGGAATTAAAAATTTTTTCTTTAGCAACGCTGGATTTCGGCCTTTAAAAACGTTATATTAAACAATTACAAGAATTATAACGATCACAGTTTATTTTTAAAATATCACTGCCGGTGATTGTCACCTCACCAGAATTAGGGTAGAATTTTGGGCAGAATTAAAAATGTCATGAAACTCCGCCCATTAATATTTGCTAATGCTAGTGCGGTGAAAATCACCTGCGGTGAGATTTAGCAATGCCCGGCTGTCTAGCTTATTGCATCATATTTTGCTTATTCTGAACGGTATATCTAATTTTGAATGGTGGATACTATTGGAATGTCAGTTTCTTCTACTAATTTTGTAAGTTCACATCACATTTCAGTTCCTGCCCGTTATATCTGTTGCTCTTATCTAAATTTCCTGCTAATTAATTTGCAAAAATAACTCCCCGAAATGTATTAGTAGAATTCACTGATTTGGAGACGGATCACGAATTAAATTTTCTAATTTTACTTTTCAAATCCAGAGGTTTAAGTCGGATAATGTATATTCTAGCTAAAGAGGAAATTTGTTAAAAATAAAAATTATGCAGATCAAAATATAGATTGACATTTGAAACTGTATGCACGTATTTCTAAAAGAAAAACAAATATATTTTGACTGTGTATTATTTTATTCATCTTTCAGTTACTTTGCGTCTCCATAACTAATTTTCAGAAATTTGAAAATTTCGCAGTTTCGTGGACTGTTAGATAAATATTTAAAACCAACTTCTAGTAAGAGGAATCAACTGGTAAAATAATTTTTTTAAAATCTTCGTTCAATGCAAGTTTTTTTGGACAAAATTGAAATAGTACAAAATGAATTAGAAGGACTACAAAATAATATACTTCTTATTTTTATATATAAATCAAAGCAAATTAAAAATACATACAGTATATATAAAGAATAGACTTATTTAATTTCTTGTTCAACTACCTTTGTATGAAATTTCTGAAATTCAGAGAGGGATTGTTTCAATTCATCTTTAAACTTTATTATTTCATCTTTTATTTCATCTATTTCATCTCTTATTTTTGCTATTACATCCTTTACTTCATCATTCATTTCGCATGGAATTGGAGCATCAGATTTCTTGGACCATTTGTCAACATCTTCAGTAAAAGCTTCATAAATAATACTCCACGGAAAATAATTCCTGAGTAAAATAAGTCAGATTTAATTAATTATACATTTTTTTGTACCATTTCAAAAGTAAGAATTATCGAACATACCGATTTTGACGTTCTGATGGCATCATCCATGAAAGTTCAATATCAATAATAATTTCTGCTCGTTTTATGACCCATACAGTCCGTGCGTAATTGATTGTTTTCTCATAAGTATCGCTCAATATTGCAACTATCAAAAAAAAGAAAAAAATATTAGAGGAGATACTGTATTACGAAGGAATAGATGTACACATGTAACAACATACTTAGAATGTTCATTAAGATAATTGTTGTGCTAAATGAAAAAACGATCTTGTATATGTCTACCAAACGATTATCTGTCCATTGTTTTAGAGAATCATAATCACATAAAAACATTGACCAGACATTTTTGAGAGAATTATCAAAGCTTGTAAAATTGGGGTCTTCCAATAATAAAATCATCAATGAATTAGCGAAGGCGAACAGAATAAAAGCTAAAAGGAGAAGAAACCACAAAATCTTTCTAGAAATATGTGCGACAACTTTGCATCATCAAATAAAAGTTAATGATCTGTCAAATCCTTAGTTAAAGATTGTTTTTGAGTAATTCTTACCAGCAATGATTACTCCAATACCTTTGAAGACACGTAACTGCGCAGCAACGAAAATCCATAAGGACAAGACTGAAAGAGATTGAAGTTCTGAAGGTGCGACATTATCACCATGCTTTAAGGATCCGGTAATTACAGGAAGAATAAACGCTGCAAGTTCAATATAAGTTGCAAATACAGTAAAAAAGCGAATACCATTCACATAATGTATAATAGATCATTGGATCCACGTAAGTATCAGAATTGCTCCTAAGATCATGCTTGCAATCATCAGTTGTCCACGATTAGTATTGACTGCAGAGATAAAAAGTCCGAAATGAACGAGATAAAGAAAAAACAATTGGAAAAAGCGCCATCGTGCAAAAGCATGCCACTTGAATTTTACAATTGCCTCAAAAGGTGAATATTTAAAAGCCTCGAAAGGATGAAGACGTGTGAGTTTGACAAAGATACTCGGGTGGAGAGGGATCAAAGTGTTAAGGAAAATGGTAAGCCAATGACAAGGATAATTGATCTCCAGATAAGTGCATAAGCCAGGCAATGGTACGAAGCAGTACGTGGCTGAGTGTTGAGGGATTGTCTCCCATCTTAGTTAATAAATAAGCCAAATTTAATATATGACCAATAGAATTTAAAAGAAAACAAATAAACATGTACAAACTTGTCAAATAAAGTGTTTAGGAAATGTTTCTTAGAATTTGTCATGAAAACAGAACCGTCAAATTTGTCACCCCAAAGGTTTTCATGAATTGAATCGTATTTTTCTGGTTTCAACTTCCATATTATTGGTGGAATCTTAACGCAGGTACATTGCTTCATAAGTTTGTCCAGTATTTTTGGGTAATGCCTAGCGAGTTCTGGTAATGCATCAATGACTATAGACATAAATCCTGGTTGGCCATCATGAATGCAATGGTACATGCAATAATCAAGTAACTGTTGAATCTCAACACTTTTGAATTCAAGAATGGCAATCGTTAAAGGGTTTTCACCATTAAACCCAAATTGTTGGTTTATAATGATTATGCTGCAGGATTTCCTCTAAAATTTCAGTTGGTGTATATTCATCATATCGAGTTACTTTATAGCGGATGAGGTTGCATATAGTCTTTGCGCTATTAAATGTATTGCAATGTTTATACAATTTGATGGATAACAAATTTAAAAATTCTACTGGCCCCTGGCATTCACAACTGTGTTGCATCCATTCATCAGGTAAATCATGGCCACTTATGGCTACATCTAGAGGTATTATGGTATAATAATTTTTCATACTATCACCGTAAGTAATATCAATCCATAGGATACGTCCATTAGAAAAATCGTTGATACACTGGTATGAGAATTTATTAATATTTAACAAGTAATGTGGTGGTCTCCATACTAACTTCCGCATATCATTATCTATTGCATAGAACAAAATAATCATTCGAGAAGATACTAAAATAATATTTTGTTCATCTATGCAAAATAGTTTCACTCCACTAGCAAATCGTATCTGCAATGAACGGCTGCTTATGACATATTCGCTGCAACTTTCATCGAGTACAAGCTTTCCCAGTGGTACATTTACATCCAGAAAATCTCTACTATAAAATAAATGTGCATATAATTATTTGATGTTCAACGTAAAGTTTGAAATTTTTATTCTCAAATATGTTTAATACAGACACTAATTTAACGGAAGGTGAAAAACTTGGGTATTTTTCTACTTTATATCCAGTAATTAAATCGCGATCGTCCTTGTAATTGCTTGTAAAGACATCTGTGTATTGAATCGGCTGTTTGCGAAACATATTTATCCAATTCCATTCATCAACAATAAGGATGTTATGATTAAGATTAGATGAAACAACTAAAAGTTGTTCTTCATTAATAATTCGAACATTTTTTGTATTACTTTGTGATAGTGCTACATGTGCCAATTCTGTTCCCGAGCGTGCATTGTATAATGTAGCTAAAATGTGCTCCTTTTTTTTGTCAAAGTTAATTATGAGCAAGTTCTTACCACCATTCACGAATTGAAAATCACATGGAAAGATCAACTTTTTGCTCATTACAGCTAAACCTGAACATAAATCATATACATGCAAACCACCTAAACTAGTCTTAAAAGCAAGGAGATCACCTGCAGATGAAATACGCATATTGCTAATTTTATACGTTGTCTCACCTTGCGCGGGCATGATACGCAAATAACATTTGCCGGTATCAATATCAATTACATCAAAAATGTTATGCGGTTCCCACTGGCGAAAGATGGCGTAGTTTTTATTTGTTAAAGGGTTGAGAGTGAATACTTGAAAATCATTATTTTGTATACAAATACGACAGAGCAATATCTAAGGCCAGGACTTAATAGAAATAATGTGAATAGTTTCTTTATTATAGATACCAAGCATTTCTCCATCAGCAAGAAACTCAGCGCGGCCAAAAACGTCTTTCAAGCAATCTGGTGAAAAATATTCCATTTCATCATCCAAAATCATGGGCTTATCACATTCTGATGAATATAAGATAATAAACAGGTGATTATCATACAATAGCTTCTTAGACATGGTCAGATCAAACTCGCAAGTAACTTTATTTTTGGTATCAATTATCATTTTAATATCAACCTTTTTATTTTTTTTAAGATAATTCAGTTCGAGAGTGACGGGAGTATTTAAGCCAGTAGGATAATTCCATAATGCAACTATCTCATCTAATTTACTAAAACTAGTGATAAATTTGCCATCCTGAGAGATAGTAACAGCTGTGATTTCTGTAGTGTGTATTTTCTGAGATGGCAAGTTTTGCGCCATTATCTCATGTGATAATCAACTTTTAAATTTTGTTTTACGCTGTTTATCTTTTACATGATTATTTATATAAAAGAAAATTCTCATGATTATTTCAAGAATCATTCGCTACGCAAGTTGTACAAACTAAAATCTTTTTCAAAGTCTGGCGTACTTGCATATTATGCATGGATGATCTGTAACGTTTTCTATAAAAGATTTACTACCGTAGAGCGCTGCATACAGTATCCCTTTGAAAATGTATCCCTTTAAGTAGTACCCTGAACTATTCAATTTAAGCTGACTTTTTTTGGGTACTGTATGCAGTGCTAAAATGTCTAGATTGTACTCTTTTATATATTATTAATTTAAACAATGAATTTGAAAAAATTACAAAAAGCAACGTACCAACTAAAAATGCACTAGGCTAAAAAAAAAATCTGATTCATTATCCTAAATTACATGATAAATATACAGTATATAATATCTTAGTAGCAAAATCTTCGAATTCTATAAAAAAATTTTCTGAATAAAACAAGAAATGAACAAAATGATTGAAACTTACCGTTTCTAATACATACAATTGTTGTATTACTTTTGAATTATAACAAACACAGTGAAATAGAGAAAATGCTAAAAAGATTATTAACAGTATGCATAAATTATTTTTTTATTTTATTTTGTTCATCTATTATCGATTATTTCAAGCAATTTTTGATCATAGAAGGTTCTTGAGAATCTATAAGGCTACATAATAGTTATCTTTCACATAATAATTCTTTGGATAAAATAATAGTTACACAATCTAACCATTTTTTTAAAAAAATTTCTTTAGAATTAATGTCAGCTTTCACGACATTACTTAATTAAACAGAGTTCAGATGATAAACAAATCAGGAATGAGTTTGAAAGACTTATAAATCGATAATAAAAAATATTTGGCGTTAGATTGATTGGCTAAATGTCACGTGTTCAATTTTTAATAGTGTTTTACTTTTTTCCGATTTCTTGGCCAATTTTTTGCCAGGTGTCCAAAATAAGTGATATCACAATCACAAATATTAAGTTTGTTATGAAATTTGCTTATTGTAGCAGCCAGAATGAATTTATTCAGGACAATTCATTATTATCTTTGTTAGACTTGGCGCAAGGCGTAAAGAAAATGAAAAAAGGGATTTTGTATGATGATACAAATTTCAGCATTTTTCTCTTAGTTGCTGCGCCTCAAAATTTTTTTTCCTTTCATAAATGACTATTTAGTTATTAATTATCATACACCTACCTGCATTATTTTGATCGAATTATTAATATTCGGCTTATATATATGTTAACTAATTTTGCATTTAAATATTAATTTATAAACAATTCGCTTTATACCAAAATATAATTTAGTCATGACTTCACCATCCAGCGATCACGACATAAAAATGGGCAATAAATTTGGAAGAGAAATTGAATTTCGGGAAGGTTCACCAATTCAATTATTAAGATATAGTGAAAAAACCGAAAATGAAAAATTTGGTCAAATTCTTCTTAATCCAAAAGCGTTGGATATTATTAAAGAAATTAATGAACCTCTTGCTATTATTTCAGTCGGTAAGCAACATATTTCAATTCAACTTAATTTAATTAAATTATATTAACTAATATTATTTCCTCTTCAGTTGGTTCTTATCGTCATGGTAAATCTTGGTTTGCAAATGTTTTGCATGGTCATCATGACGGTTTTGCACTGGATGCAAAAGTTGAAGGATGTACACGTGGAATATACATGTGGTCTCCCCCTTTCAAATTAATAAGTAAACAACATGATGGTAAGACTATTCAAAAGCGGGTTATTATTTTGGATAGTTAAGGGATTGATGATCCTTCACAGGATGAAAATTGGGCTACAAAATTATTTATTTTATGTTTGGTAATATCTTCAACCTTCGTATATAATATTAATGGAATTTTTGGTAGAGATGACATAGGAAAATTACATTTAATGACAGATTTGAGTAAATTTATTCAAGAACCAGAAAATGGTGATTTTTTACCAAGGTTGGTTATTTTATTACGTGATTTTATTTTAGAAAGTTCAACATGCTTCAAAGATTATTTCTTGGAACAAATGAAGAAAATCAATGCCGAAGGTGAGCTAAAGTAGAATTTTGTTATAAAATTATAATCAAAATTTTTCATTTTTTTTCAAATTTGTTCTATAGCTACTATGGGCATCAAAAAATTTTTTTATGATTTTGATGTTTACGGGTAAATCTTAATTTAATTTTATGCATCCATTAAAATTATTTTTTCATTTTATTCAAATATATTCTTTCTTTATAAAATTTAGTTTGTCAGTAAGTAATTGAAAATTTAAGTAATCACATTACCTACCATATAAGTTCATTTAACGCTCATGTTTCCTTTAGCCTCCGGGATGCAAAAAAAAAATGTTACAACATATGGAAGAAGCCAAAACAAACGAACTTGATGAAGAATTTGTTGAAGAAGTAGTTAATGCAGTAGAATCAATTTACTCCCAGCTTCCTTTAAAATACATAGGTTCTTCCACTATGCAAGGAATATCATTTGTAAAATTCCTGGAAAACGTCATTGAACGTATGAATAGTTCAGAAACTTTGACTCTTCTCTCAATCACTTCCGAATATGAATCCATTATTCAATTTGTCGCACAAGAAGCAATAAAAGAATCTATAGATAGATATGAAAAAAGTATGAGTACTTTAAGAAATGAGGAGGAAAAACTACAAATGCATTGGAAGGAATTTGATAAAATGCATCTTAAATATAAATCAGAGATCAATAAATTGTTTTTTGAAAAAATAATTGGAAGTCCCGCACAACTAAGCAATTTTGTCAAACAATTAAATGGAGAGATATCTAAATCTGAAAAAAGGTTTATAGAAGAAAATTCTAAAGAATTAACAACTTTTAACAAAAAAATTGCAAAAAAATCATGGGCAAGGCATATAAAGATAAAATTGGACAAAAATGATTTATTTAGGGTAATTAAGTAAATTATTTTCTTTTTTTTTCATTCAATAAAGAACATTTAAATTATTTTATTGTTTATTAAATAGTATAAAGAGGAATCTCAAGAAGCGTGGAAATTATTTGAATCATATTGCAATGAATTGATGATAAAATCCCCTGAGGCTGATGAAATAATTGCCTTATTCAAGAATCGGTATATGGCCGCAGTTGATTACAATAAACAATTAGGAAAGATAAATGCAGAATTAACGAAAACAATACAAGAAGAAGAGGATAAGAAATCGCAATTAATAATTTGTATGAATGAGGAAAGACTTCGTTCAAAGATTGAAACATTAAAAAAAGAACGTGAAGAATATGAAAGAAATGCCAATAATAAAATATTAGAGTTACAGGCAAACATCGAATGACAAAGAAGATCACAGGAGGAAATGAAACAACGCTTCGCTGTGGAAAGTAATAATCTCTTTGTTACAATTAAGCAAATATATGACGAATTAAAGAAAGAAATTGAAAAATTACAAAATGAAAAACAGATAAAAAAACCTAAACCGAAATGGAAAATTGGATGTGTTATTACCTAACTTGAACTAATCCCGAAGGAATATTTATATTTATTTCACGGAGTCACTGATTTTCACAGTTGCCCCGTGAAAATCATTGATATCCCAGTTCCCCGTGAAATAATTATTACATAATTGTCAACGCGAAATAATGAATATTTAATGATATTGTATAAAGTTTATATTTATAGACCTTATGGAAAAGTTTAGAAGTGTCACAAAATAGCGAAATAGAATAGTAATTTTGATGAATGTATATATAGCTCTGTAACTTGGTCGACCTATTTAAGCTATTTACAATTAGTTTTTATTTGTAATAAAAATATTAACTAACTATATACAAATTTTTGTAATGACATAAAAAGTATAATTAATACTAATGCAGAATTGAATTATCATAAAGAAGTCTAGACTATAACACACATACAACAACAAACTTTCCTTTTTTTAGTTTTTATTTCATTATTTCCTTTCCGTAATTTTTTAATTTCCTCATTTTTCGGGAAATCATCAAATGATTGATAAACTAATTTAATAATTGAATTTTGTTCCTCAATAAATTGACGTTTCATTTCTCCTTGTGGTTTATTTTGTTGTTCAATATTTGTTTGTAATTCTAATATCTTATTATTTATATTCTTTTCATATTCTTCTTTTTCACGCTTCAATGCTTCAATTTCTAAAAGAAGTACTTCTTCACGTGCTAATGCTTCTAGTCGTAATCTCTCAGCTTCTTCTCTCGCATGCATCGCTTTTGCTAGTTCTGCGTTTATTCTTCCTAATTGTGTTATATGATTAATTGCAAATAGATATTGATTTTTCTTGTATGAAGAAATTACTTTAGTAGCTTCAGGAGATTTCTTCGTTGATTTATTATAATCTCATTCAAATAATTTCAATGCTTCTTGGAATTCTTTATTGTTCTATTGAAGAAAATAATCTATGAATTTTATTTAAAAATAGATCAAAAAAAAAAAAATATTGATTTAATTACCTTAAATAAATTTTTATTTAATCTTGTCTCAACATGTTTTGTCCAAAATTCTTTTGTGATATTTTCATTATAATGCATTAATTCTTTAGAATTCTTTTTCACAAACTCTTCTTTAGATTTAGATGTTTCTTTAATTAGTTGTTCTGAAAACCTTCCTATTTGTAAAGGGCTTCCAATTATTTTTTCAAAAAATATTTTATTAACTTCCAAAATGTACTTATGCATATTTTCAAATTCTTCCCATAGCATTGGTAATTTTACTTCTTCATTCATGAGATTGTTCATTCTTTCTTCATATTTCTCTATAGATTCTTTTATTAACTCTTGCACAATAGACCTTATGATGGATTCATATTCGTCAGGGATTGAGAGAAGAATCGAAGTTTCTGAACTATTCATACATTCAACGACGTCTTCTAGGAATTTTGCAAATGATATTCCTTTCATAACGGAAGAACTTATGTATTTTAAAGGAAGCTGAGAGTAAATTGATTTTACTGCATTAACTACTTCTTCAACAAATTCTTCATCGAGTTCATTTGTTTTGGCTTCTTCCATATGTTGTAACATTTTTTTTTACATTCTGGAGGCTAAAGGTGACATGAACGTTAAAATGAACTTATATGGTAGACAATATGATTACAAAAATTTTCCAATACTTACAGATAAACTAAAAAAATATATTTAAATAAAGTGAGAAAAATAATTTTAATGATAGCATAAAATTAAATTAAGACTTACCCGTAAACATCAAAATCATGAAAGGATTCACGAATGGCTTTAGCGGCTACAATTTGAAAAAAAAAAATTAAAACTTTGTTAATATTTATTAATAATTGATATTTCTTTCATTTTTAATTCACCTCCAGTATTGATATTATTCAATTGTTTCAAAAAATAGTCCTTAAAATTTCCAGGATTTTCAAGCACAAAATCACGCAATAAAATAACTAATCTTGGTAAAAAATCTTCATCCTTCGGTTCTTGAATGAATTTACTTAAATCTGTCATTAAATGCAGTTTTCCTATATCCTCCCTGTTAACAATTCCATTAATATTATATACGAAGGTCGAAGAAATAACTAAACATAAAATAAATAATTTCATGGTCCAATTTTCATCCTGTGAGGGATCATCGATCCCTTCGCTATCCAAAACAAGGACACGTTTTTGAATAGTTTTACCATTAGGTTGTTCACTTGTTAATTTGAAAGGAGGAGACCAAATATATATTCCACGTGTACATCCTTCCACGTTTGACCCTAAGTCAAAACCATCATGACGTCCATGCAAAACATTTGCAAAAAAAGATTTACCACGACAAAAAGAACCAACTGAAGGAGAAATATAATTAATAATAATAAAAAAAATAAAAAAAAATAAGTTTAATGAAATACGTTATTTACTGACAGAAATTATAGCAAGAGGTTCGTAAATTTCCCGAAGAATATTTAATGCTTCCGGATTAAGAAGAATTTGACCAAATTTTTCATTTTCGGATTTTTCACTATAACTTAATAATTGAATTGGCGAACCTTCACGAAATTCAATTCCTTTTCCAAACTTATTGCCTATTTTTTCTTTTGACATCGCAGAATTTTAAATGGCATGATTAAAAAAAAAATAAGAATCGTCATTATATAAAGTAAATTCCATAGACTTATTTTTATTTGTTCTCTTAATTGTGTGTATCACAACCATAAAAAGTGAGAAGTGATTTTATTATAAAGCATGAAAAGAACAAAGTAATATGCATTAGAAAATGTACCAACTTACTTTTATTAGGCAGAGAATAAAGACTAATTTGGAAGTGATTGTACACGATTATTAATAAGGTAAGTCTTGTTAATACAAAAAAGCCTGTTACACAAATAAAAAAATAAATTCAAAGCTTTTTGATGTAGAACATAATATTTACGTATAATTTAAACTAACTAAATTCTTTGTTTAAAAAATTATTTAAATAATATAGGGTGTAAGTTGTAGAACATGTAAATCATGACTCAAAGTTCACCCTTAAATAACATAATAAGTGATGAATCCACGGAACAAGGCAATAGGTTTGGAAAAGGAATTGAATTTCGTGAAGGTTCGCCAATTCAATTATTAAGTTATAGTGAAAAATCCGAAAATGAAAAATTTGGTCAAATTCTTCTTAATCCGGAAGCATTAAATATTCTTCGGGAAATTAACGAACCTCTTGCTATAATTTCTGTCAGTAAATAACGTATTTCATTAAACTTAAATTAAAAAAAATATAAAAATATTAATAATTATATTACTCCTTCAGTTGGTTCTTTTAGTCGTGGTAAATCTTAATTTGCAAATGTATTGCATGGACGTCATGAAGGTTTTGACATAGGGACAAACGTGGAAGGATGTACACGTGGAATATATATATGGACTCCTCCTTTCAAATTAACAAGTGAACAACCTAATGGTAAAACTATTCAAAAACGTGTCCTTGTTTTGGATAGCGAAGGGATCGATGATCCCTCACAGGATGAAAATTGGGCCACGAAATTATTTATTTTATGTTTAGTTATTTCTTCAACCTTCGTATATAATATTAATGGAGTTGTTGGTAGAGAACACATAGGGAAATTGCATTTAATGACAGATTTAAGCAATTTTATCAAAGAACCGGAATATGGAGATTTTTTACCAAGACTTGTCATTTTATTGCGTGATTTTAATCTTGAAACCCCGGATAGTTTTAAAGACTATTTTTTGAAACAAATGAATCATATAAATACTGATGGTGAACTAATAATTAAAGAAATTTGATTGAATTAATGAATTATAATCAAATATTAACATATTTTATTTTTTAAATTGTAGCTGCTGCGGCTATCCGACGATTCTTTTGTGATTTTGACGTTTATGGGTAAATAAGATTATTAGTTTGTTTTTTATGCTATCATTATTTTATCTTAATTTTTTTTTTTTATTTTCTACTTTTTTTCAGATTATCGGTGAGAAATTGAAATTGAAATTAAATAATGATTTATTTCTAAAAAATTTAATACTTAATTTTCAGCAACCGGGATGCAGAAAAAAATTGTTGCAACATATGGAAAATGTCAAAACTGATGATCTCGACGAAGAATTTGTTGAAGAAGTTGTAAAAGCTGTAAAATCCATTTATTCGCAGCTTCCTTTAAAATACATAGGTTCTTCCACTATGCAAGGAATATCATTTGTAAAATTCTTAGAAAATATAGTTGAACGTATGAATATTTCGGAAACTTCGATTCTTCTCTCTATTCCTTCTGAATATGAATTCATTGTTCAATTTGTTGCACAAGAAGCGATAAAGGAATCTGTAGAAAAATATAAAGAAAGAATGAACACTCTGATAAACGAAGAAGGAAAATTACCAATGTTATGGGAAGAATTTGAAAGGATGCATCATGAATATATTTCAGAGGTCAATAAAATATTTTTTGCAAAAATAATTGGGAGACCCACACAAATAAGTAATTTTGCCGTTCAACTGAATAAAGAAATGTTCAAATTTAAAGAGGAATTAATGGAGAAAAATTCTAAAGAATTAACGATTTATAATGAAAATATTGCAAAAGTATTATGGGAAAAATATATAGGGATTGGATTAAATGACAATGAAAATAAATCATTTAAGGTATTATTAAAATAATTTTTTTTATTTTATTATACAAATGTAAATGATAATTATCATATACTTTTTAAATAGGATATTGAAGAATTTCAAGAGGCATTAGGATTATTTGAATCAGATTATAATGAATCGATGAAAAAATCTCCCGAGGCTACTAAAATATTTGCCTCATATAAAAAAAATCAATATCCGCTTGCAATTAATCATGTAACACAAGTAGGCGCAACATCAACGGCAGAAACAATGTATGCCAAAGAAGAAGCTGATAGATTACGGTTAGAAACTGAAGCACGCGAAGAAATACTTCGTTTAGAAATTGAAGCGTTGAAACGTGAACGTGACGCATATGAAACAAATGCAAATAAAAAAATATTAGAATTACAAACAAATATTGAACAACAAAAAAAATCACAAGAAGAAATGAGACAACGTTTCATTAAAGAAAAAGATTGTACCATTGAAGAATATAAATATAAATTTGAAGAAATAGAAAAAATGAATGAAGATAATAAAAAGATAATAACTGAATATCGCGATAAAATAGACATATTAACTTTAGGAAGTAATCAACTTGAAGCAGAGATAATCCAACTTAGGATTGAAATTCAGAAAAAAGAGAAATTGCTTAATAATGGAAATAATAAACGAAAACTATCATGCATCTTTATCTAGTCGATGCTTATGATATTAAGAAAAAAAGTTCTAATTATACGTAATAAATATTTAATGTATTTATTTATTATTGGAAATTTATATAGATCAGTAAATTAGGTAATGATCATATTAACCCACTTCGTAATATGTGGTTATTACGAAACGAATCTGAAAATCATTAATAAATAATAGGCACACTGAGTTGTGTGCCAGGTGGCGCAACAAAAAAATTACAAAAATAAAGAAAATGTTCCTATTATATAACTTTTAAATTTAGGTATTAGGTGTAATTTTAGCTGTTCTGCAAATTTACTTAGAGAATATACAGGTGGTTTAGAAGGCCGTTTTCGAGTTATTTAACAAAAACTGTTTTTTCGATAAATCCATTTTGGAAAAGACGGCAAAATCAATTATTTATATGTAAAGTCAAAAACTGTATCCAAAACCTTCTTCCATTTCTAAGTAAATTTTATAGAGCAAATGAAAATACATCTAATATGTAATTTTGAAAGTTCTGTGCCAAAAGGAAAAGTTGTCATTACTATTTTTTCAAATTGCTGCGCCACTAACCTGGTACATGTGTGCTAATATTAAAGGTTAGTGAAATACAATTTCCTTTTATTGACTTTAAGTATTTTTGCATTGTATTATACAACAAATAGTATTTCATATTGTGAAATATTAAAATTAGTTAATATTGACGTAATTTAGGGGATTAATTGATATTTATACATCTGATACCAAAATTTTGTACATGAATGTATGCCTTAGATTGTTTGTTCGGTATTAAAATTGCAATTATTAATAGAGGTACTGTATCACATTAGCCCAGTTCATCGCATTTTTCAGTCTGGGTTGATCAGTTTGTACGCAACCATTTTCTGAACTTTTAGCCCAATTTTTTTGGGGTTTTTTGGTCGAACGCCAAAAAATAACCAATAATGTCTATTTACGTGTCATTTAAGAAAAATATATATATCAATATAAGGAGTTCGAACTAAATTTCAATCTAAAGCAGTTCAATTTGGGTCGGTCTGCTTTTTAGTGAAATTACTTTTAGAGTTTGGAATCGATTAAGGTTAATCGATTAATTAATCGACTAAGACGGTTAATCGATTAAGGTATCTCAAAAATCGGTTAATCGATTAAAATTATCAACCCATAATTCTGGTCAAATTATCTAATGCGGCCCAGAGCTGTGAATTTTTGGTCACGTGTTCTCCGAACTTAGAAGAATTTGTATGTATTAATTTTTTAATGATAATAATAATAAATAAGACTTTCCTATAACTAAATGTATGATCAAAAACAATTTGGTGCAATCTGCGGTCAAAAAAAAAAATTTTTAATATTTTAACCCTGTAAAAAAAAATGTCCAGAAATTGTAGCTAAAAACATTCGGAAAACGTCCATGTGTCCGGAAAACGTCCAGAAAATTGCAATATTTCGGACACTTTCTGGACGCTGAGTCTGAACCCTCCTAGACATTTTCTGGACATTTTCTGGAAAATGGAAATTTTCCAATGTCCAGAATATTGCAATATTCCGGACATATTCCAGACAAATAAACATTTTCCGGACGTTTTTAGCTACAATTTCTGGACATTCTTTTTTTATAGGGTAATATTAATCGATTATTAATCGATTAAGGTTTTTTTGGTCGGTTCCAACCTCTAATAACTTTGTGGGAAAAATTTAACATTACTTTTAAAAATGTAGGTTGTTTTATTGTTTAATTACTGATATGTACTCTAAATAAAAAAAAAAAATAAAAATAAAAAATAAATAGTTGAAACGAACATTATTTCACACAAACTAGTCGAAGATTATGTATTTTTGACTGTAATACTGAAACGTAATTTAAAGTATGCATTTATTAATAAATAAGAAGTTCAAAAAGTAAATTATCATAATATAATAACTACTCACATGTAAAATGACTGTAGTAGCTGAGAAAGACATGATGTCGTCAACTAGGCAATAGTAAATTTGGATTTCTTTTTATTTATTTCATCTCAAATTTTTTGAAAGTCTTCAAGTACCTTATTCATTTCTCCATTACATTTTCTTTGTTCTTCTATGTTTTTTTGCAATTCTGATATTTTACTTTCAAAGTTTTCTCTAAATTTTTCACGTTCACGTTCAAATGCTGCAGTCTCTATACGAATTGCTTCAGTACGTTCAAATGCTTCTCGTCGTAATCTATCAGTTTCTTCTCTCAAATACATTGCCTCTGCTAATCTCTTGTTCATTATTCCTAATTGTTTCATGTGATCAATTGCGGCTGGATATTGATTTCGCTTATATGAGGTAATTACTTTATTGGCCTTTAGAGATTTTTTCATTGATTTATCATAAGCTAATTCGAATGATTCCAACGCAGCTTGAAATTCTTCATTGTTCTGTTATTAGATAACAAATTTAGATTCCAATAAAATTTGTTGAATCAAAGACAAAAAGAATCTTATACACTGACTGAATACCTTAAATGAATTTATTTTATTATCTATATATCTTGACCAAACCTTTTTTGCTATATTTCCGTTATAGATCATTAATTCTCTAGAATTTATTTTCCTAAATTCTTTCTTAAATTCAAATATTTTTTCATGTAATTGTTCAACAAAACTTCCTATTTGTTTGGGACTTCCAATTATTTTCTCAAAAAATAATTTATCAATCTCCGAAATATATTCAATATGAGTTTCTTCAAATTCTTCCCATAAGATTGGTAATTTTCCTTCATTTTTCAAAGTATTCATTCTTTCTTCATAAAATTCTGTAGCTTCTTTTATTGCTACTTGTGCTACAAATTGCGTAATTGATTCATATTCGGAAGGAATTGAAATTGTATTCGAAGTTTCAGAATCATTCATACATTCAACGATGTTTTGCAGGAACTTTACGAATGATACTCCTTTCATAGTTGAGGAACCTATATATTTCGAAGGAAGCTGAGAATAAATTGCTTTTACTGTGCTTTCCACTTCTTTAACAAAATCTTCGTCGAGATCATTGGTTCCAACTTTTCCATGTGTTGCAATAATTTTTTTTTGCATCCCGGGGGCTAAAAGGATGTGATATTAATGATGAGTTAATGTTTTAGTGGTGTATTGACCATATATTTAAACTCACCGATAAACTAATAAAATTTACAAAAAAAAAAAAAAATAGTTGAAGTAAATAAATTTATTAATGAGAATTAAAAAAAAAAAATGATAATCAAATTGTTATTCACCCATAAACATCAAAATCACAAAAGAATTTACAAATTGCCGTAGCAGCTACAAATTTACAAATTATGATGTCAAAAATAGCTCTGTTTCAAGAAATAATCTTTCAAACTATCTGAACTTTCAAACATAAAATCACGTAATAAAATAACTAATCTTGGTAAAAAATCTCCATCCTTTGGTTCTTGAATGAATTTACTTAAATCTGTCATTAAATGCAATTTTCCTATGTCATCTTTACCAATAATTCCATTAATATTATATATGAAGGTTGAAGCAATAGCTAAACTTAAAATAAATAATTTTGTTGCCCAATTTGGATCCTGGTTAGGATCATCAATTCCTTCGCTATCCAAAATGATAACGCGTTTCTGAATTGTTTCACCATCAGATTGTTCATTTGATAATTTGAAGGGTGGAGACCACATATATATTCCACGCGTACATCCCTCCACTCCTGGTCCAAGATTGAAACTGTCATGATGCCCATGCAATACATTCGCGAACCAAGATTTACCGCGATGAAAAGAGCCAACTAAGGAAGAAATAAATATTTTACACGGGAAATTTCACAATTATCTCTCATTTTATTTATTTACAAATACATAGTGCTTACCAACAGAAATGATAGCAATTGGCTCACGAATTGCTTGAAGAATATTTAATGCTTCCGGATTAATAAGAATTTGGCCGAATTTTCTATTTTTAGATCCTTCTTCATACTTCAATAATTGAATTGGACCACCTTTACGAAATTCAATTCCTCCACCAAATTTGTTACCATTTTCAATGAAGTCGGTGAAGTCGGTAGATTCAAAATTTTCATTACTTTCCATATAATAGAATTTCAAATGAATCAATAATAAATATTTGAAAGTATTTAACAAAAAATTTTAGACAATTTATAAAGAAATTTAAATGAATATAATGAATGGTTGCGCATTTACAGTACGTAATAAAACTGTGTCATTAATCTGCTCTTAATAATTAATTACAAATCATATTAATTAATATTTGCATATGTTCATCTATTGTTTCATATACAATCTGGATTGTAAAATTGTATGGTAATATTATTGAAACTTATGCCACGTGACTTTGGCCAGAATTATGGCCAGCTTGTTTGGTAAGAATAAGTTGTTGGATCGACTCTGAGAGATTTATAATTTCACGCAGAAAATATTGCAAATTAATGTTGAAGAAGTGACGAAAGATTGTTTAATAAACAATACCCAATATTTCTATCATCTTGGCTATTATAAAATAAAAAGGTTAGATGGGAAAATACTCACTACATAGTACCTCACAATTTTGTCATTTTCTCTGAAGATCTGGTTTGTAAGCAAATAAACCAATACATCATCATCTAATTAATAATTTTCTCTAGCTTTTTTTTTATAACATAATATAAATTGACTTAATCAGTATAGAACAAAATAGCCCGTTAAAATTATATTTAAGAAATAACCAAATCAATCAAACCCAAAAAGCCTTGTTTGTTAAAATCATGACTCGACCATTCAATTCTTTAAGTGATATAGAAGGTATTAAACCTATCGACTCTACTAAAGATGGTAATAGATTCGGTAGAGGAATTGAATTTCGGGAAGGTGCTCTGATTAAACTATTGAGCTATAGCGAAAAATCTGTAAATGGAAAATTTGGTCAAATTCTTCTTAATCCGGAAGCATTAAATATCCTTCAGGAAATTAATGAACCTCTTGCTATAATTTCTGTTGGTGAGTATTTCTTTAATATGAGGTACTCAAGTGAGGTCTACATTAAAAAAAAATCATTTATTCCCAGTTGGTTCTTTTCGTCGTGGTAAATCTTGGTTCGCGAATGTATTGCATGGGCGTCATGACAGTTTCAATCTTGGACCAGGAGTGGAGGGATGTACACGTGGAATATATATGTGGTCTCCACCCTTCAAATTATCAAATGAACAATCTGATGGTAAAACTATTCAGAAACGCGTTATCGTTTTGGATAGTGAAGGAATTGATGATCCTAACCAGGATCCAAATTGGGCAACAAAATTATTTATATTATGTTTAGTTATTTCTTCAACCTTCGTATATAATATTAATAGAATTGTTGGTAATATTGATATAGGAAAATTGTGTTTAATGACAAATTTAAATGAATTCATTCAAGAACCGAAGGATGGAGATTTTTTACTAAGATTAGTTATTTTATTACGTGATTTTATTTTTGAAAGTCCAGAAAGTTTGAAAGATTATTTCTTGAAACAATAATGTTGAAGGTGATTTAAAAGATTCAAAATTGAAAATTTTATATAATTGTAAATTGTAATTAACAAAAACAAAATAATTCATTCTTCAAATTTTTTTATTTTTCGAATTTTTTCTATAGCTGCTATGGCAATCGAACGAATCTTTAGCGACTTTGATGTTTATAGGTAAATATAATTTTAATTTTATTTATTTATTTTTCGTGTAATCTTTTACATTATGATTAATAAACATCAAATCTATTTTTAAATTTTAGTTTGCCAGTAAGTAAATGATATTGTAATTATAGTTGGGTGCCGAAACTCTTCATATGCCGAAACTTATTGACCATATACTGAAAATAGTTCAGCTTTTAGTTTATATAGTTGGCAAAATCTGAAAATCTAAACCTATTGTTAATATCCTAAGCCATTTCCAAAATCCTAATTTTACTGAAAATTTAACCTAAATCTAGATTTAGTAATTGTCTAATAGTTTGGGATTTCGGCAATAGTTTCAGCAATTGCATATGTCGAAATGTTACGGCACCCAACTATAATTGTAATCAATTCATGACTATTTTACATATTAATTCATATCGCCTTCAGCCCCCTGGATGCAAAAAAAACTATTACAACATATGGAAGAAGTTAAAAATGATGAACTCGATGAAGATTTTGTTAATGAAGTAGAGAACGCGATAAAATCAATTTTTTCTCAGCTTCCTATAAAATATATAGGTTCTTCTACCATGCAAGGAATTTCATTCGTAAAATTTCTAGAAAACACCGTTGAACGTATGAATAGTTCAGAAGTTTCTTCTCTTCTCTCAATTCCTTCTGAATATGAATCCGTTATTCAATTTGTTGCACAAGAAGCAATAAAAGAGTCCATAGAAAAATATAAAGAAAGAATGAATGCTCTGATAAACGAAGGAGGAAAACTCCCAATTTTATGGAAAAAATGTATGAAGATACATATTGAATGTTTTTCAGAAGTCAATATTACATTTTTTAAAAAAATAATTGGAAGCAAGTAATTTTACCGAACAACTGGGTAAAGAAATGTGCAAATTTAAGGAGGAGTTGGCGGTGAGAAATTCCAAAGAATTAACAATTTATAATGAAAATATTGCAAAAGAATTATGGATAGAATACGTAGAGATTGGATTATACTCAAATGAGAACAATTCATTTAAGGTATAATTAAACTTAATTTTTGTTATTATTTAACAAATAGTGTTAGAATTTAATTTTTTTTTTGTCACAGAACGCTGAAGATTTACAATACGCATTGAAGTTATTTGAATCAAATTACAATAAATCGATGAAGGAATCTCCAGAGGCTGATAAAATAATTACTTCATACAAGACAAATCAATACTCAGCTGCAATTGACTATATGGCACGATTAGGAAGAATAAACAAAGAATTAGCAAAAACGATGTATACGAGAGAAGTGGCACATAGAAAACAACTAGAAGCATCAGCACGTGAAGAAGCACTTCGTATAGAGATTGAATTATGGTCACGTGAACGTGAGGAATATGAAAAAAATATCGAGATTAAAACGTTAGAATTGCAAGCAAATATTAGACAACAAAAACAGTTACATCATGAAGAAGAGAAGGGATCTAATAAAATCAAAGAGAATTTATGGGTTTGTATTAAGAATCATATTAGAAAAATATTATCGCCTTGCAAACACTAAAACACCAAATACAGTCACTTTGTATTAATGATTAATTATTCGTATATATTTTATTCAAATGTAAATGAAATAAATTATAAATCAATAAACTAACTGTTTAAAAAATTCAAATATTAATATTCAAATCGGATTTTTTTTTTACATTATTAGGTGTATATTACCTTTTTGTTATATTAGTATTTAATAAAACATAGAATGTTAATCCATTGCACAGCACGGCGCGGGTGGGATTTTTTGCATGTATGTATTTGTATTTTCATGCATTAGTGTGTAAATCACTCTCATACAGTATTGAATAAAGCGATTGGAAAAAAATTTCTATACAAAAATACGTAAATATTACATGGTAACAAAGTATTAGCAAGTAAATAATCCAAAGCTATAAAACCGCTAATAATATTCTCTTGACTTGTTTTTATCGTCTATAGTTAAAAACTACATTAAAATATGATTATTGGTTTATTGAGCACTTAAAAACAATTTCTTAATTTCTTACAAATAAATATATATAACTTAATTATTGTCTCTAAATACGACAAAAAGTAGTACTTACGGTTATTCAAATAACCCAAAAAAAGTGTATTCTGCTATGATCTAAAGTGTGAACTAAAATGTGATCTCAAAGTTAAACAGTAAATACACAGTTTGAAATTCGATATACCGGAATCTCGATATAACGGACCATAAGTAAAATCTTGATATACACCGTTCTGAATTATTATTATCGTAGTAGATAATGGAATAAATAAATAAAGATTTAAAAATTAATAGGTTTGCATTATTCTGCTAATAAACTTTGTTTTCACATTTTTAATTATACATTTATGGAATAAAGTAGGAAGTGCATTGTTATATATGTAACCGCACATAAGTATAAGCTCATATTTTCATAAATTATACAAAAGAAAAATAATCTATCATTTATCATAGCTAGTTTAATAAATTAATTATCACTAATAATAAAAGAATTGTTTTATTTAGTTTATGAAAGCAAACAAGTAAATAACAAAAAAAATAAATTAATAAATTACACTTACCTCAAAGTATAAACTACACATACAGCATTGTCCTTTTCAGAAATTTTTAATGTTTTATCCTTACAAATAGAACATGTTTTATTGCATTTACATTCAACATATTCTACACGGATTTGCTCACTACTTTGATTCAAAAAAATTGGATTATAACTTTTGTCTTCTGATAAATATAAACTAATACATCTTGGATTAATAGATCGTGAAGTAAATTTTCTTTTAAGATCAATAAAATTGAATATATTAAACTTGTTATATGTATTGGGCTCCAAAGAAAATAATTTAAAATTACTATAAGAAAGATTATTTGAAATAATGAATGTATAAAAAGTAAATTTAGGTAATTTAATATAACAATTTGTTTTTGAGCAATATGAAAATATATTTATTGTAGATTTACTTTCCTTATCTATCTCCATCACTCTCCCTTTTCCTTTCACTTTTCCTCTCCCCCTTCCCTTCCCTCTTCCTCTTCCTCTTCCTTTTCCTCTTCCTCTTCCTCTTCCTCTCCCTTTTCCTTCCTCAATATCTTCCTCTTCCTCTTTATCTTCTATATCTAATTGAGTATTGCAAAAATTATGCCCAATTGTGAATGAATTATTCTTTGAAAAATTCAAATCACTCAATACAGGAATTCCAAAGAAAGAATTTTTTTTTGCAATTAAATCATATAAATCATACTTAAGATATAATTTTTTACTATATTGATTTTGTGAATCACATTCTTCTTTTATTAATTCAACCCTAGTATCAGAAAGAATGAAACTAAAATCAATATCATAACCAATAACCATCACACCAACTTTCAATTTATATTTATATGATTGAAACTCCTTTTGAATACCATGAATAATGATACTTGGTACTCCTTTTGCATTATAATAAATTTGACAGTTAAAAAAAACATCTTTTGAATCTTCAGTATCAATGACTGTTGCAAAAATATCACAATCAGCATCTTTATTTTTTTGAATAATCCTTGTTATGCATGATGACATTTCATTCAATCCAATATTTCGGTACATTCCAGGCATACATAAATCATAATCACAATCTTCAGTACCTGTATAAAGTATTTTTTTTCCAATGGACATAAAGGATTTTTTACGTAAATCATCAGATATAAATTGAAATATACTAATAGGATTCCTGTATTCAATACACTCCCAATTTTGATAATCTTTCAAAGATTCTATCCAATCTTTTTCAGCAGCATCATCAAAATTTTTACCATCAGGATGTTTTCCTCCAAGTAATTTTATGAAATTAAAGTTATAGAATTTTGAAATTTTCTTCGTACTACTATAATTTCCTTCTAGTATTTTAGTTATATTCGCAGAAGCTTCTTTACTTGTGGAACTTTCTGATGACTTTTCAATATCTTTGATATAAACTCTTCCTCCCAAAATAACTTCAGTTGGAATGAATTGTCCGTACTCCTCAATTATTTTCTTAAACTCTTCCATAGGATTTTCAGATATAGCGGCATTATCTACTGCTTTAATAAATTCTTCAGTTGGTTCTAAATGTTTATGAAATCTTAATAATACCTTCCCAACTTCTAAATATTTATATACTGATTTAATTTCTTCATTAAAATTTTCATTTTGTGAATATGAAAATCCAACTTTAACAAAATTCAAAATATCAATGTTAATATCATCATCATTAATAAATAAATTTGTTTTTTTCATCCAATCTTCTTTTGAATCAAATCCAATTTTATCTTTTTTATACCCTTTATCACCAATATCAATTATGTCGCAATTCTTCATTTTGAACGCTCTTTTATTAACCCTCTTATTTCCATCAAAACTCATAATACATCCATAATCCAAATTATATTTATTATTCAAAATATTCCAATCAAAGCTTGATTTTTTTTTCCTTAAATATAAAATACGTTTTGAATTATCATCAGTTACACCTATTACTTGTTCTAATAAAAAATCTCCTTCACTCTTAAGTGATATTTCATGAAATTCGTCGTCAAACTTTTTTAAAAAAAATAATTCATCATTAATTATTTCAAGTTGTTTACGAATATCTAATAATGTTTTCTTTAAATCTAAAGGATAAACTTTTGAATTTGGGTCGCCTTCAGTTTTAATAATAACGAATGTCATTTTAAGAATAATTTTTGATTTTTTGTAACAAAAGTTTTTTTTTTAATTTACAATTAAGAGGAACTTAAAACTAAAAATAAATTTTTTGTGAACAATAATGCATAAGATCCCAAAGCAATATGGATCTACGTATTTACGTAAGTGATCTTACTAATTAAAACATAATCAACATTTCACAGATTATTAGGCTGAGATGATCGACATTAATGCTTGCAATCATATGATTTATAAGTCTATTATTACGTTACCGATTTTTTCAAATATTTTTTTTTTGCGAAATGACGAGCAATTCCAAAGTTATTAAAGAGGTATGTTAAATTATATTTACATATTAGGAGTTTATTCCAATTTACAATTATATTGAAAAAAAAATGATAAAAAAATGCATGTTTACCAAAATACATTGGTTGAATGTTATGATAACTCATATATACCCTCTATCTAATCATATAATATATATACTATTTTTTTTTTTACCCATTTGTAACTTGGAACGACCTTAATTAAACCAACACCATTTTTATTTAGATAAGGATACATAAACAAAATTTTTGTACAAATAATACAAATATTATTAAATTTTTAGGTATTACTATCTTTATTATCATCTTATTAATTATATTAATAAAATAATAATTCTAATTCAAATAAATTTTATTTTATTTTATTCAGAAAATGAAAATATTGTGGATTCTGATTCAAACTATTTGTTTGTTTCTAATTATGATGAAACATTGGCAAATTATTTAAAAAATAATTTCAATATATTAATTTGGGATACAAAATTGAAATTTGCCATTCAAATTGCTGAAGCAGTTTCATATATGCATCAAGCAAATATTATTCATCGTGAACTCGCGAGTATTTTTTTTTTTTTTAAAAAAAAAAGTATTTGATTTACGTTTAAATATATATTATTTATTAATTTGCTCTTCTTTTATAAATTAGAATTCAGATAATATACTAGTCTACCAGAATACGATCAAATTTGCAAACTTTGGACTTTCACATAAAGTAGATGAAATATCATCTAAAAGTTATAGTTTTCAAAATACGTTACCTTATATCGACCCACAACATTTTCAAGAGAAAGAAATTGACAATTATAATTATCATCATTATAAAGGACAGAAGTCGGATGTATATAGCGTTGGTGTACTCCTATGGGAGATATCATCCGGAAAGAAACCATTTAAATCCTATACACTTCATCAAAGACTTGAATTAATGTTTGAGATTTTAAATGGAAAAAGAGAAGTTCCAATTCCTAATACGCCAGTTGATTATATTAATATATATCAAAGTATAATTCTTCATTAAAATTATTAAATATGTTCTTATTTTATTAATACAAATTCTAATTTAATTTTAACTTTCAAAGAATGTTGGAAAAATAATCCGGATAATAGACCAAATATGGACCAAGTACTTTCTAACCTAAAATCAATTAATTTGGATACAATCGAAATTCTTATTAGCGATTTGTTACCATTATATGAATGTTTTATTCAAAGAGGAATGAATGAGAATGATTGTATTCAATTAATTAGGCAATCTATTAAATCAAAAAACAAAGACGAAGATAAAATATTCAATTATTTGAATATATTAAATATTAATGATCGACTACAAAATATAATCCTTTTTTTGGCAAAATTTTATCAGCATGGAATTGGGACCGAAAAAAATGAAATTAAAGCATTTGAATTATATAAAGAAGCATATGAAAAAAATTATATTAGTTCTATGTATATGCTTGGAGACTGTTATAAATACGGTATAGGGACGGAAAACGATGAAACTAGAGCGTTCGAATTGTATAAAGAAGCATGTGATAAAGAACATATTAACTCTATGTATATGCTTGGATGTTGTTATCAATACGGAATAGGAACAGAAAAAAATGAATTTAACGCATTTTCGTTGTATAAAACAGCAGCCAGTAGAGGCCACATTAATTCAATCAGTAGACTTGGTTATTGTTATCAATTTGGAATAGGAACTAAAAAAGATGCAATTGAAGCGATTGGATTATATATGAAAGCGGCTGAAAGAGGTAACGAACGATGTATTCAAATAGCTTATGTTTGTGATAATGATAATTTGACGAACCTGGATTACATAGATTATAAAGAAATTTTTGTTGAAAATAAAAATAATTTAATGGATTTTGATTACAATGAAATGTCCAGTCATTCGTCATCTCATATTTTGAAGAAAAATATTGTGAAATTTTTTGGATTCTCAGGTGAACAAATCATTAGACAATTTAAGTTGAATCATGGTATAATTTTAAGTGGAAAAAATATACGTCCAAGTATACGATCTATTATCGCTGAAGACGGAGAAAACTTGAAAATGAGTTTATATAAGGGACAACCCTTAGTATACACTATTAATTCTAATAATGATAAGCCGTTGGATATGTGTATCAATTTTCCGATAGCCGAAATTATTTATAGTGGAAGTTTGGTAGAATCTTTTTCAAAATATAAGTGTAATGACGAAAAATCACATGAATTGTATGGTCATTTCCTTGCAAGAAAATTTTTAGCTGGTGGACAATTATTTATCAAAGATTTTAATTTAGCTACTTCGACGCAGATTGATATTTTAAAATTTTATTTATTCTATGTATATAATTCAGTTAAATATTCTTTAGAAGTTCGATTCAATAATTTATTTACCCTAAGTCTTTTACCAAAAATAGTAACAATGGATGGAAAAGAACTAAGTACTCATGAAAAATTGACCAAGTGGATGACCGATTTGTATCAAAGGAAAATGACTGCTATAATTTCTTATAATAATCTTATCCCAGTTACTCAATTAAGACATAGTATACTATCAATAGAAAACATTGAATCAATTAACGAAAAACAACCTGGAGTTGATGATTTTGTAAGGAGGTTAAGTTTAGAAGAGTGGGTCGGAGATGAGGTGCATGATAATCTGATGAGTTGGACTGAAAACTTTAATCTTTTTCAAGGGTTAATATTTAATAATGATCATGAAATAGAAATCAGCAAAAAAATTGCTATAAATTTTATTGAAATTCCCAAAGTAAATTTAAAAAATGATAAACTTTATTTGAAATTGACTACTCCATCAACAAATATGGAAGTGATTTTAATCTCTAATAACATTTTTTCGATTAAAGATTTAAGTACTTTTCCGTTTATTAAAAGTAATAATACAAAGGAATATGAGGATTATGCTCATATTTTATTAAAGTGTGAACGATATGAAATTCTCTTAAATAAGGATCATATTAAACCCACAAAAGAATTTGAACAATTAATAGAAAATGCACTTAATAGTATTAAACCATTAGAAGCTTTACAAAATATTTTCAATGAATATGGTCATATATTTCCTCAAAGAATTATATTGGGCAGATCTCTTAAAAGTATTTTGACAAGTAGTCCCTTTTGTAAATGTGATACAATCAATTTTATTTTGGAAACACCGTTATTTACGTCGTTGGAGCAACGTTTAGATTATTTAAACATTTTATATTCTTTAAATATTTCATATCTTTTAACACAAGAAGGAAAAGTTGTTGAAAAAAATGATTTAATTAATTGGATTCAAAATATAAATAATAATTTAGAAATTATTGAATTTGATAATATAATTCCACTTTATAAAATTCTTAAAGTAGAGCAACAAAGAAAAATAGATGATATATTAAAAAATGATTTTAGAATAATAATGACAGGTATTACTGATTTGAATGATCTAGATAATAATAATGACGTACATTACAAACGTATAAATTTAAATTCAGAATTAATCTTAAAAAATGATGATTACAAAGTATTTGGGTCAATCATTACAGAAAATAATATAAAATTAGAACAGATTTGTGTTAATTTTGGATTATTTGATTTTAATGGATTCCATGCAATAATAAAAAAATCGAAAGATATAAGTATTGATATAACTAAATGTTATATTTTATGGATGATTGTTGGAAATCCTTCGAAATTATCAATTTTTAGTTCAAATAATCGAAAATTTCAAGTTGATTGCATTAGAGAGTCTATTACAATACAACCTAATAAATCAAACTATTGCATAAAAACACCTTTTCCATTATCTCATGGATATACTATTTCCGTTCATGCATATTACCCTTCAACAAATTATGAACCTATTAATATTATTAAATTAGTCGGATGGAATGATGAATATATAAATTTTCAAATCACATATAATGAATTTGATGGAATCAATAACTCATTAACAAATATTGAAATAGATTTGCATATTTGTTTTCTGTTTACGAATTACAAGAATTTAAAGATCGATGATGAAGAAAGAGAATGTTCTATAGACTTAATTGGATATATTTTAACTGAAGATAATTTGAATGATAAATTACCAAATGAAATTGAATCAGAAGCTAAAAGTAGTCTTATAAGTGACAGTGACGTTGAAATGATCATAAAGTATGTTACAAATTTATTAAATATGTATATTATTAAGTATTAACATTAATTATTAAATGTTTTTTATTGATTTTAGTGATAATGCAACAAGTGGATTTGAGAAATTTTGTAATGAAATAATAAACGAATTTGAAGAACAACAGAATAATATCCGTAAAGAAATAATAGATGAATTTGACAAATTCCGTAGTGAAAATCTTAAATTTCTCAGATTGTCTAATGTTTCTTAATATTATGAAACGGTTAAAATTTATTGAACATTTTACCTTTTTTTCTTTTGAATACATTTTAGATAGTCATTGATAGTAGGTAAAAAAATGTCATATTATTGCATGGATAAAATTTCTTGCATTTGTAAGAAAAATTATTATACGTGTAAGTTTTTTTAATCATGATAAGTCAATAAAGTAATAATATATAGAGATAGAGATTTTTTCTTTGTTATGGCTTTTTATAATAAATTAATATCCCGACTAAAAGATACGTTTTGTATACGTTTTGAGATACGGGAAAATGCACAATTCCGTATCTCAAAACGTATACAAAACGGGTGCATTTTTTCGTATCTCAAAACGTATCCCTCAGTATATATAAAACGTATCTTTCAGTATAAAAAACGTATCTACTTTTTTTATGGAGAAGAAATACAATATATTAGCTTAACTTTTGGCCATCTTTTTTTAAAATGTAAAAAGGTGATAAAAGTAATCAGAGTTATAAAGATTTAATACTATGTTTAGAATAAGTATTGGTATTGTTATATCAGTTCTTTAATGTTTATAAGAATAAACGAAAAATTAATTAGGGTAGGCAGAAGGTATGTGTGCAAATAAATATAAAGATATTTAACGTAAAGATAATAAACACAATTTAATTAAAAATTACAATTGACAAAATTGACTATAAATTCGATCAAATGTGAATAAAGTATAGCATTCCAAACAGCATATACAATCAGACACAAATAAAGGATTATGACAATAAAACAACAGGTTAAGTGTATATAAAAATGAGATAACCAAACAAATTAAATAATAAAACTTTATTTATCAAAACGTTATTTATCAATATCTATAATTATCAGTTGGTATTAAACGCGTTTATATTATAGAGTTTGGAATCGATTAAGGTTAATCGATTAATTAATCGACTAAGACGGTTAATCGATTAAGTTATCTCAAAAATCGGTTAATCGATTAAAATTATCAACCCATAATTCTGGTCAAATTATCTAATGCGGCCCAGAGCTGTGAATTTTTGGTCACGTGTNTTCTGGTCAAATTATCTAATGCGGCCCAGAGCTGTGAATTTTTGGTCACGTGTTCTCCGAACTTGGAAGAATTTGTATTAATTTTTTAATGATAACAATAATAAATAAGACTTTCCTATAACTAAATGTATGATCAAAAACAATTTGGTGCAATCTGCGGTCAAAAAAAAAAAAAATTTTTAATATTTTAATATTAATCGATTATTAATCGATTAGGGCCCTTGGTTAATCGATTATTAATCGATTAAGGTTTTTTTGGTCGGTTCCAACCTCTATTTATATATACAGTACATAAAAATACTAACTAAATATTTAATACTAGTCGTTGAAGAAACCCACTGCGATAAACATACACGTGATCAGTACGATGGTTAAACAGTCTTTCGTATAAATTTGTAGTCTAAACGTTACGGATACACAGGTATAAATTGTAGTCTAAACGTTACTGTCACACAGGAAAACAATTATTATATAGTAGATATGCTGATCATCCCGTATGTGACATTGATTATCCCGGTAGTAATATTATTATCCCGATTCCCGACTATTATCATTGATCACCTGTTATATCACGACTTCGTCGCCAATCGTAACAGTATTGATAAAATTTACAAATATTTTGCGTTAATACTAACCAAATAAATAGTAGTTATTGGGTGGGGTTAAAATATCATCCGATCTGCGAATTCAATTATACTAATTTTAACCAATAAAAATGTTTAATTTTGTATCACGTAAGATTTTGCTTAACCCCCCCCTAAAATATTAGCTAATATATCCTTACTGTGACCCTGCATTTTAAAATTATGTGTTTAATTAGAAATTTATAAATTTTATATAATTTTTTTTTAAAAAAAAAACTTTGGGATTTTGACCGTCAAAGAATTTTAATTGTCAGGATTTGTGAATATCAAGAGATTTTGATTCAACCAGGATTTGGATTTATCAGGATTTTGGCGTCGGGATTGTAGACTGTCAATATTATGAATATTATGGTTGTCGAGATTTTGTGGTAAATCCTGGAGATCATTTTATCTAACAAATAAATTCGGATTACAAAGTACGAAAAGTCTTACCTTAAAATTCATTATATTAAAAATTATTTATAAAAAAGAAAAAATCTGTACCCTTCATTAGTAAGGGTGAACTGTAAATATCATATATCATTTACATTCTGTACCTATTAAAATACATTTTTTTTAACCATTGATATTGTTTAAAGTATGAGATTTTGCTGATCGCATGAAATTATATGTGAACTTATGCACCCCAACTTGATCGACAAAGGATCTAACGAAGTGTGTAATGCTGGCACATAAAATTTTGCAAAAAATATAAGCTTTAATAAATTAATTTAACCATTTTGTAAATGATTGCCAAAGTGATATTTTTTTGTTTTAAATATAAAGTCTATTCTTATTTTTTGAAATTGCTGCGCCACCACAATACGGTGACATCATATGATCGATTTTTGATTACCGCAACAATTACTTCCACGTTGAGATTTCTGATTTAAGAAAAAACTTTTTTTTGTCGATGCAAGAACAAAGCAGAAATAGATGATGAAATTTCAAATTTGTCATTAAGAATCGTTCAATTTCTTACTTAAATTTATTTATTAATAGAATATATTTTAATGTACAAATTACATTATAAGATTAGTTTTCACGAATGTAATACTTTTAATATAAAAAAAAAAAATTTCGACGATATTATTGATCAAATATATGTAATATTTCATCAATATTTTTTTTGAATTTGACGAATAAAAACTTCATATTTCATAATAAATATGTGATAAAGAACCACTAATGAAATATCAAATTAGAACCATCAAAAAAACTAGTACCAAATATTAAAACCATATATATCATTTAAATAAAAAGGAAGAATTAACGTAAAAGGTTGGTTTATATAAACCAAACTAGTAAAAGAAAAAGACGGAATGTGATTTTATAACATAAAAATTTTGATCATAAAAAATTCTAAATATCTTAATAATTTCTTAATAAACCTTAATGAATAAATAAAAATTGTGTTTGTGAAAATTATTTAATAAATTTAGGAAAAGAATAAATAAATTTGCCCGAAAGTCGATTTTGCCGTTAAATATCGACAGTAATCATCACTTTTTTTCATCAATATCTTCATTAGAAGAAATAGAAGATGAATATTTATTATCGTTATTGCAATGTTGAGTTGTAAAAATTACCAATTTATGTAAATTTTCTAAAGAAAATTTCGATAAATCATATTCTAATTCGCAAGGAATATTATTTAAAGTAAATTTTGCATTAAAAATAGAAAATTGATTATTCTTATTCTTTTTTATGGGATTTTTATAAAAATTGTTAATAACTTCTTCTATTTTATTAACTTTACTAGAAAAAAGTTTGACAGAGTCGTTCATTTCTCTGCAGTCGTAACAATTCTTTAAAGGTTTCCTTTTTTTTATTTTATTCTCGAAACGAAATTTTTGAACATATGACGGTGTTCCGCAAGTTTTTTGTCCATAATTTTTTGATGACATTATAACGAAAAGAGGAATCGAAACTTATTAACTTATTATTTATTAAGTATAACTATGGGATGCTGACAAAAATAAGACTTATATAAGTTTTTATTGTTATTGATAAATGGAGATATTAAAACACTAGAGTCCGAAGTTTTGAATTACAATATATTGATTAGCAAATTATTATCAATCTAAATCGCCATTTATAATACCAAATTTGGAATGTCATATAAAAGAAATAGGAATTTTCGAAATGGTCTATTATAGAGATTACATAATTAGTCATATAAACGCAAAATAGAAAAATGAATACCACCTTTTCCGCTCCGTAGATGTCAATATTATAAAGCATATTACATTTGTGACGGTGCTGCGCCACTTGAAAATAAATAAATAAAAGTTGACTTGTTTAGTTTAAATCGGTACATACCGAATGATATTGTTGAACTAATTTGATAAATCCCGTATTTACTAAATAATTTAATAAACTTTCATATACTTAAAAGCCGCTTAGATCAGTCTTTCCAATTCGAGTTTGATCAAACTTAACCATTTTATAATGGACAAAGAAAAATTTTTTTATATTGATATTTACTATTTTAAGTCAATAATCGTTACTTACATTGCTATTATTTGAAAGATACGTGTAATAGTTATTTCACAGGGAACTGTGGATATCAATGATTTTCACGGCTGCGCCGTGAAAATCATGATATTCCAGTGACTCCGTGAAATAACAGATTTATCTCACGATAAAGCCCTTTAATATACTTGATTAATAATGATAGACTTTTTATTCCAATATTGATAGACTTTTTACCCATCTTTTTAAATAAACACCACTCGTGAGAATATCAACAAAAAAAAATCACAAATTTTAGGGATAATTAAAAATGTTTCACCGCATTAATCAATTGACTATTTAATTAAACTTTATAGCTTTTACATAGTATCACAATAAAATATATAGTTTTGATTAATTAGTCTGTGTGACCGTACTATAAAGGTTAATCCTAATGACGTTATGCGTCATTACGTCAAGGTGCTTGTGCAATTAGTATGTTCCAATTTGGCTGCATAATAACAGAATTAATGTAACATTGCTAAATAGTAAATTATTACACTGACCTAATTAGGTTAAAATTGTTTAATATAAGATAATATATAAGATAATGCAAATCTACGACTTTTGTCGAACAAGATGAACATCATCAATAGTTTTCTATAATCATCGGCGTTCTACACGTTCTACACGCAGGTACTGCGCATTAAAATGAAAATTTGACAATACCAAATTGTAGAGGATAATAAATATTCAAGTACATAAAAACATAAACTCAACCTAAACCATATTTGTTTTTTTCTAATAGCTTTATAAAGTTAGAATTTTAAAGAAAAGGGGGTTATTTAACTATTTAATAACACACAATAAGCTTATTTGTCTTATTTGTAATAATTGCGTGTTATTGTAGAATGAATTCTGTAATTCTTTTTTTAGTTCAGTCAACTGATCAAAATAAATAATCATTAATACTATTTTATAATCATAAAGATCAATCATATCTAAATCTTCCAATATATTTATTAAAATTGGTTAGGTACATTTTTCGGAATAGAGTTGCGATCCGTCAATCCGTAAATAAACACAATTTTTTTCAGCCATTTTATGAATATTAAGTCGATAAAAAGAATCATTGCGGCGGCAAAAACCCTGATGCGCCCTCGGGAATTAAAAATTGACTTACAAAAACATTAAGCTTTTTTCCTCAAATAATGACGCGCTTTTAACACTGGAAAAATTGGTTAAATAATAGGAAAATTGGTTAGACGCAAAGATTTGAGGTACAAAATAATTTTTTAGAGCTCATTTTTGACTGTTCACTAATAAATTTTGGGACTTAAATAGAAATTTGGTGACTAAAATACTGTCAAATATTTATTTAATTTGACATGACGGACAAATTTTGGGGTATTCCATAAATCCGCCACGATGTTTTTTTTTTAGATATCTTATGAATACATAATATAATAAAAAAAAATTGTCTTCAAAAATAAAAGCAGAGAGAAAATTAAAACGGATTGAAATTCATCCGGATCGGATGAAAAATCAATCCGTTATTATTTTCTCTTTCTGTTGTATTAAATAATAGTAATTTTTTAAACTACTAGATTGTGCATTGGGATGCAGTTTTATAATATATAAAAAAAAAAATTTTAATCTTTATTAATTAAAATCCGTGTATAATTTGCCCTTTCTACTCGGAAGTCCATTTTGTAGAATTTGTATTACCAAAAACCTTTTGACCGAAATTTCATTTTACCAAATTTACTGTCTTGTCAAAATTTAAAATCCCATCACCAGTAAAAGTTTTGGAACTTAACCGAGTTAATAAAGATTGTGGATCAAGACTCTCACCTAATCCAACGAATAGAGAATTAAGAACAAACGGAAGAAACGTGTAAGAACAAATAGTAAGGATTATAAGGAAATTGTATATTGGAAATAGATAGATGCAGTATAACAGTTCGTTAAAGTGCCAGATTTTGCCATCAAAAGTGGTTAGCACATTGGATAGTTACACTACTATGTATGTAAATCCCAATAACAGTGTAACATCGGTGTGATGATCGCCACTACCAAATTAGGGCGAAATTCCCGGAGTTAGAATGTGGTGATGATCACTACTATAAGACTTTATATACAGTACCATATATATATTCTTTTGTAAATTACGTGATTTTAAGCGCTCATTGTAAAAACGCATGAAAATGCTGTCTTATTATTTAATAAGTATATTCAATCAAATTCAACACTGCATATAAAGTTTACCTGTTATTTAAGCTTTATTTTTTTTTTATAGCTTAAATTTTATAACCAATTTTTTATTGGCACAAATCTAACATGTATAGAAATTTTTCGTATCACTCTTCTATTTAACATGACTTTTCTTTTTACAAAATTTAATATAGTATTATTTATTGTGACATTAAACAAATGATTGTTCTTTAAGAATCTAAAATACCCGTCTTTTATATTATTTGAATTGTTTAAAACTTTAAAATAAATTTATGCTATGCAAGAAAATAATTTTATAATTTTACACATCCGTTTACCAGGGAAGAATACTTTTTTGATTTCTCTTAACTACTTCTTTTATGTGATTTAATTTTAGAGCATATGGACAAATAAGTTCATGCATATATAGATAGTCCCTCGAGTATATACAGTATAATATTCTAAGATCGAAAACGTATTTCTTATTTTCCTTATTGAAATTATAGGAATAACATCAGTGAAATATAATCATACAGGAAAAATATATGTACTATGTGTTCCCGCGTTCGTTGTATTAAAATAAACGCAAGCTGCTACAATTCCAACCGCAAATTAAACTGAACCAATTTTCGTAATTAATTGAATGAGCCCAAACAATTAAACCGGAGAAAAATTCAAAAGTTTTAGTCATCACACGCATTTGTTTGTGATCTTTACGTTTTATCATCACCAATTAGTTTTTTATTAAATAACCGAAACCTTCAGTTATAATCATAGACAATATATTTATTGGACAGGATTAAATGATTGGATGAAAATGGCCACGTAGAAATCTGCATGTTCCTATAGCCCTATAAGAAATATGTATACGGAAAGGATACGTTTTGTATACATTTTATGTACGTTTCTATAGATTCTGTATACAAATTCCGTATATTTAATAAGCAATTCATTTTTGAACATTTTTTAAAAAAACTAATGTATACG